CAAGGCATCCATCAAACAATGGATGCAAGAAGAGCCTCAGGAATGGTGGAACAACTATCCAGGTTTGAGACATTCCAAACAGTTCATTAAGGAACGAAAACCCTACTAGATCAAAAACAATAAATCGTTAGGATAACAATTGGTCTTCTTATAGGTACTGTCGCCTAAGAAGGCTCATTAGCGTGATCAATCCAGCAGAAGAAGCAACATTTTGCAGGTTCTGTGAAGAAGATGAAACACCAATTCACGTCCTGTGCCAGTATAGTGACCTGGCTAGATTGAGGTTTCTACAACTAGGTGAAAAAGAGCCAGATTTCTACAACTAGGTGAAGAATAGCCAGATGCATGCATTTACATGTGGGAGCCACTTTCAAGGTTACTACGTCTAATAAAAAAGACCAAGCAAGGTGACATACTCTAAAATAACGGACTCTTGCAGTAGATCTGAAAAGGTCATGGTGAACAAGGATTACTCCTTTTAAATCAAATATAAACTACTGTTACTGTTAAAGAACTCACCACACAAAATTTTTCAAATTTGATGTTAAAAAGTCAAAAATGAAGTATGATTCATAATTTCAATTTCCCCTTTCCGTCCTCTTCAAATGAGTCATTTAGTTGTTAATGCCACATTTTTGAAGATATTTGAACATCGTCAAATGTTTCTAGATCCCGTGTTTGTGTATAAGAATAAAGATGTTTTCTCAAATCAACATAAAATTTACAAGAATTCGATGTTTCCATTTGAGAACTTTTTGACACCCTTTACTTGTCATAACGTTTGTCTGTCTAGTTTTCTTTTCCTCATACTTCTACATTTTATCTGTCGCAAGCTCTTATTCAAGGACACAACTGAGAAAGATTGATTTCTTGTGCTCTTGTTTTTTGTTTCTGCTCATCTCACCTTTCCTGTCTCTATGAATAATACATCTCATTCATCGAACACTTCCTTATACCTATTATAAATCTCCTGTCAATTTGTCAATTCCCGCAGGATGTCGTCTCGCTATAGTTGCCGCGCCCGACATTCGCCACTGTAAAACAACTGTTCACGTCGCCGTTGACCGCTGTCATTCTCAGCGAAAGAGAATGCACTTCGAATAATTCGATCATTGTTAGGCAAATATCCAAGAGTTGCCAAGAAAAATATTTTGCATACTTCCTGTATTGTAAGACTATCATCTTGTTGACCTTCATGAATCTAAAGATACCTTTCTTTTTATTTTTTTCTGTCATATTTAACACAAAAGTTTTTTGCTCTAATCCGTAAATTCACATTTATATTTGTTCTTCTGAAATTTTTTTGTTACAGCATTTCTTGCACTTGTCTCCACATGGATCTTTCAATAAATTTTTATTTTTCTTATCTTCGACTTTTTGTTTTTTCTGCTTTGTAAAGACGTACTGAATCTTCTGCGTTTTCGGAGCTCTCCTGTTTTTGAGTATAAATGGCGTCTCGGTTTTCGGATTGCTCAATTGCAGCATCAATCGCGTTATCGACAATTTCGGTAACCAAAGCAATATTATTATTATTTGAATCTGAAGCTATAGCGTTTCTGGGACGAATTACAACATTTTGATGGATAATAATCGAATGAAGTTAAGGTTCCACTTCTTCTACTGCTTCTGAACTTGATGTGTCAGACGATGATGGGATTTAAAAATCTGGATTGTAATGATTGAGGTTAATAAAACGTGTTCAATTTCGTGTTTCTATCTAGAATGTTTATTTCATCCTCCAACTGTACAATCTGTCAGGTACCCACTGCTGCCAAATCATGTACATCGTTAGACCTATTACTGTTGGCGCATCTACTTCTACTACATAAAAAGTTAACATGTGTATCTCATGTTGGTAACTGCATTCCAGTGTGCATTTCCTTATTACTCTTAAGGTTTCATTAGATAATGTTGTTGCAACCTGTTTTATCTAGGTTTACACTTGTTTCTAATGAGTTTAATTTATTTAAGGATATTACATTGGCCATTGCCCCTGTATCTAATCTACATTTTAAAATGTGTCTATTAACTATAAAGTTTATCATGAAATCATCATTGTTATCTAAACTTTTGTTTTCAGCATTAACTAAACCTAAGAATAGTTCATCTGAGTCCGAATCACTATCTCTATTTATTAATTTTACCTTTTTTTTTTTTGAAACAAACTTTTGAATAATGCCCTATCTCATGACAAAAATCACACTTAGCTTTATAGGCTCTGCATGGTTGGCCTATGTGGTCTGTCCTACATCTGTAGCAATTGGCCCCTTCTCATAGAGGACTGGGTGCTCTGGGCTCCTTTAGGGTAGCTCTGGTTTGTTCTGGATCTGCTCTCTCCTCCCTGGATGTTCTGATATTTGTCTTAATTTGCCTTTGACTATGAAATTTACCTCTTCTGATTGGACTTTTGAGTTTTCTATACTTTTACATAGGTTGATTGCCTTCTTTAAATTCATGTCGTCTTCTTCTTTGACGCATATTCTCATCAAGCAACTCCGCATGTTATGCATATCTTGATTAAACTGTCCTCCAGGTCATTCAACTCACATCCTTTTGTTCTGTTTATTATGTCCGTTATAAATTTGTCAGCAGTTTCGCCTTGTTCCTGTTTTCTTGTGAATAAACAGTATCTTGCATTCAACAGATTACTTTTGGGTTTGAAGTGGTTCTCAAATTTTTGTATTAAAGGTTGCAATTTGTTTGCTTCTTCATTAGTGAATTTGAAGGTGTTGAAAATTCTAAATCCTTTAGTTGAAGAAGTTGCTTTTTTTGTTAGTTCTGTTGTTTGCAGATAGTTCTTGAATCTTTGTATGAAGAACTCCATTTGTTTGCATGGAAGAAATTGCCGTCTTGAAATCCATTTTAAGGTTATGATTTTTTTTTAAATTTAGTTTTATTTTTGTTATCCACTAACTAAATTTCCTGTATTTTTTCTTTTTTTTTTTATTTCGCATTGTATTTAAGTTAAATACGTTCGTTTATGTTTGATTCTGGTTTCGACACCATGTGATGATAGAGGTTAATAAAACTACGTGTTCACTTTCGTGTCTCTATCTAGAATGTTTATTTCATCCTTCAACTGTACAATCTGTCAGGTATCCACTGCTGCCAAATCATGTACAGTGTTACCAACATATCACATGGATCATCTTTTTCATAATTTTTTGTTAAGCGTGTTTGAGCTTTTTATTCTAAATTCGTCTAATTTAGTGGCCATCTCTTTGTTTTTTCTTACTACTGCTTGCAACAATCGCATAGATCTGCTATTATTACCATCCATTATCCTAAAAATGGGCTATATGTTAATAAAAGGCTTTGCCGGCTACATACTGATGTGTAGGTATAAATCTGTAATGTAATACTTGTTATTTTATCTATTTTTTATAGTGTTTTAAGCTCAAATGATTTTGGGAGTGGGTCAGGTTATTAAATAACTCGTATTACCTTGAAAAAGAAGTTGGGCACCACTATATTTAAAACTTATTATACTTGACTAAAGATTAGTGATAAAAATATAGAAAATCACTAACCATTAAGATATTATATTTAAACCAAGTTTTAGATAAGGCAGTAACAAATTCTAATTCACAGAGATTTACTTATTCAAATTTAGATGATTTATTCAAATAAACACTTATCTGTTGTAACAGGAGGTAGAATATAAGGAGGGATGATTTGCACGGTATTCTAGGCCTTTCTTCAAAGGGACTTGAACGATATTCTTCGAATAGCACCAAACTCTTAGGTATAAATCTTCATAAACTTAAATCTCATAAACTTCTTTAGATGTAACTCGAACTAAACCTCTTAGATACAGCTTGAACTAAACTTTTAAGATACAGCTTGAACTAAACTTCTTAATATAACTCGAAATAAACCGTCTAGATATAGCCAGGCTTATAAAATCAGACGGAATATACGATAGATAAAATTTATTTAGTACATCGAATGACCCAGATAATTTAAAATTTAATATCAACTGATTTGTTGACAGATACAAATCAAAATGAAATACCAAATTTTGACGCAAGACATAAACGACAAATGACATTTGTGTAGAGATGTTGGTGTCAAAATAACGAAAACGGTTCCAACCGTTATAATGTAGAATGACAACTTACTTTCTTTTTAAGTCCTATAAAGTAGCTATCACTTCAACAATAAGTTTAAGGCCACAGTTCACTTAGTTTCTAAAGAAACATACAAAACTATCTGAACAGAAGTAAATAAATACTTTTTTGAGGTTATGTACAAGGTCTAAACGTCAAAATACTCAAAATGTCAGACTGCGCGCCAAATCCGTTATTAGAACGATTTGTCGTATCTACTTCATTGTTAAGTAAATAAATCGTATGTACGCTATGTTAAGATTTAAAACTATGCAGTTTGGGCAGTTATGCTTAACAAACTGATGATAATTTCACATACGACAAAGAAATAATATGATTTTTTGATCGGTGATGAAAGTTATATGAACTGATGTGATATACACGAAAATTTGCCAAACATGTAGATACGACTCTTATACTTAACACAGCAGAAATTGTTATTTTTATTCTGTGTTTCTCAGATTAATCATTTGTTTGGTGACACTATGTATTCTATCTGTCGCTCTTTTTCTTCTTCTTTTTATTAGTGAGCTATACAACAGACGAAAGTAACGGCATCAATATCAAACAATACAGATACATTGGTCAACATTTGGTGGCCACGCACGTTACCGTTTTATTCACTTACTTAAAACTTTCCAAGTTTGTCACATTTAACGTTGATTCGTTTTTCGTTAAATCGGTTTTTCTTTCTGCCATATATAAAATTGTAGCTGTATTTATGACTTGAATTGACCAGACCTCAAGTTTTGGCATGGTGGACTGAAACTTCTCAATGTGATTCTAAGCTACGGTCTTGCACAAGACATTACTTTCAACAATAAAAGAAAATATATCGGAAAATTCCATATCGCGAACCATTTTGGAACAAACCCCCAATTTAATTTCCAGAATTCCGTGGTTGAATCAACCTGTAGTACTAGTGAAGGACAAGCCTCGGCGGCCGGTGAATCGTTGCGTTCCGATCTGTCGTGGGTGGCGGTCGAGGAGGGATTGACCACAGATTGTCATCGGACTTTATGGGTACCTGATCACGCCGTAAGTAGATGTACCGGATGCAGCACCGAGTTCTGGCTCGGAAGAAGGCGGCACCATTGCAGGTAAGTTGGTATCGAACGTCAAATATCAACTGTCACCTTTTACGATTGAATCGTTTTGAAGCGATCGCCGTAGGTAGTAATGAAGGAATGTTTTTAATAATTAGTTCAACATAATTGGAATAAAAATAAGAAGCTCTATCCAACAAATTGATGTAGAAATTCCAATTTGATTATCATTTAACATGTTAATTAAAAACCTTTCACTGCAAATATATCTTCAAGACCTATAAAATTAACGGATTGATCGACTTTCCTGTAAGGATGATCGATTCGAATTATTCGAGCTGTTGTCTTTAATGATTATTACACCCTCATACTGATCAGTACAAAAAACTACTGAGATAAAACAATTTCTATATAACCATCTGCGGTATGTGAGTGATTCACTGCATTATTGTGATTTATTTTTTCTTGTGAATAATTTTTATATGCAAGGTCTCTGTACCTTGTGGCAGCTTTTACATTTTCATTCTATCATTTTTTGTATTTAGGAAATATTTTTATTTGTTTTCTTGGCGTTACAGAATCTAATACGTTTAAAATATTTGTTACAAAATCATATTTTGCATTAATGTCATAAAAATGATAGTTCCATGCTAATGTTGAAAATTTGTTATTAATTAAATCAAAATTTAAGTCCTTACCTCTGCTTTCAATTTTTGCCCATCACTATTTAATAGCACATTTGTTAAAAGCATAAAATGATCTGAAATTCTTGGTGTTTTGATAGCCCCAGTTGAACCGAGTCATTATTGTAACTTGACAAACCGGGCCCTAACCTAGTTTTCCAAATACCCTTAACCTTGGTCTAAATTTCTTCTAGTGGATCCGCACGAAGCGATGTTAAAACCCCCAGAATTACGTTTAGAGTTCAATGTAGCTGTAATGGAGGAAGAACAAAGTAAACACAGAGATTAATTTAGAATACTGTTTATTTAACATCTATTCTTTCGAACAGCCGGACATCTGGATTATGTGCCGTTTTTAGGCTTAACATTATGTTTATGTAGGCTTTCCAATGTGTCATTTTTAACCTCGGAGCTTTTAGTTCCCATAAAAGGGTAAAATAGAAGTCGGAAGTACTTTGGTATATTTGTTAGTCTCCTAATATACAATCACACGTTTCCACGGAAATACTGAATTACGCATTATCTAATAAAATAGAGTACAGTGATAGCACGGGGAGTTCGGTGAAATATAAAATGATTGTAACATGTGTAAAACCCGGAGTTTAGATTTACCTTACCGTACGTCACGCCTTTCCCTAATATTCCAATGCCGTAATGTACTGACATACTCAGTCCTGTATGGAAAACACTGAACGGTCGATTGGAGAACACCTGATATAAAGGGCTATGCCCGTCAGTCCCACTTTTGGGGTATCTCAGTAGAGATCCATCCAAGCCTCTATCAGGCTTTAATTTACATAGCCGCAAGGGAAATACCATTTTTAGGCCTTTACTATTGAGGTCCCTGGCGGTCTATGGTGGCTTAAGGCTCTTTTTCGGCGCGATGCTCTTTTGCTCTGTCGATTGGCAAATCATTGTTATTAATCACAGTTCTGAGGATACGTTAGCTAGTCTACAAACACAATTTCACCTATTTATTTTAAATAAATAACAAACATACCGACTACTTCCGCGTAATGTCCCGCTAAAGATATGTGGATATGTACAAATAAATCCGACATATCTCCTTTTTCCCGAAAAATCGATATACAAAACTAACACTCCTTACGGCTAAAATGACACATTTGTCTACCCAATTTTGTTTTACAAAGAACGACAGAAAACATATTTTTTTAACTACAATCTAACTTTAAAATATATACAAATCTGTTTGCCATTTAAAAGTAAAACCGAAAGTGCGTTTCCTCTTTACTGAAAGGAGCAGGTATTGTTTACAGACAACCAAAACTTTACAATTCGGCCTTTTGGCCATAAATCTAAATGACATAATTTATTACTTGAGAGTGTTGACCGACTTTACAATAATTAATATTTATGACAAAACCTCACTATCGATTCTCTAAATAGTATAATTTAGCACAATATAAAAACCCTACAATTTTTCCCACAATAAACGTTTATCAATGAATACCAAAAATCTGACAATAACACACAGACGCGAATTTTCCCGCTAATGAATATAAAAGTAATAAAGTGATACCTGTAACCCATCAATAGGCGTTTTCGAAAACTTACTCGGATTAGAAAGATGGATCCTATTGTTCGTTTACTTATGGTTACTAACCTTATCCGTGTTCGGAAACTAGTAGATTACTGATCCAGCTTCGTGATCGAGATCAATATTTTGTGACCCACTCTACGAGTAGATTAGTAATAGATCCGCGAGCGCACCGCAGGATTTTATAAAGGAATTACGCAATTTTTTGATATTTGGTGTCTGCCAGTAGTAGATTTGTAGTTTTTCTACATTCAATTAGTTATAACTTGTAATATTTATGCTCATATTGCGACTTTATTATTCAGATTACAAATATGTTTAATTAAAATGGTTCTTTAACAAATAGGGGGGAAAAGTCAAAGATTGACAGCCGTAGGTAGACAGGATCAATAATCCAACTCGTTCGTAAACTGTCGGCACTAAGTTCAGTGATCCACGTGATCCATCGGGTAAAACCAGTAATCTGGATTTGTTATCTATAGTAGGTTTTCGAAAACGTCTAATGTTAGTCTAAACTCTCCCCCGGAATATATGATTATTAAATACTAGTTTGATTACTTTAATAGTGCGATTATCGTTTTAATTCTACGTAAAAGAAACCTTACAGAAAAAAAAGTATACCGCTGATAAAAGCGTCTACCTGGCGCAAGTTCATCGGGTCAGCCTTAAGGGTGACGAAATCCACTACGAACGTCGCCTAGAGTAGTACTTTTAATCATTTAGTAACATTTTATAATGTTGAATCGGAGATATAAAATATATGGCGTTTAACTAGACTAGCGTGGTATCACCAGTATCAGTTACGCCAATATTTTAGTCGCTCGGTAGATATTACCTTACAAAACAGTTCTAGGAGCGAAATTTGGTTCTATTCAACGTGTATCTGCTTTGTCAACCTGACTATATATCTCCTTTTACACCTAAGGACAACTGGATATCTATGTAGAAGCCGTCGTTTATAGAAACTAATTTCTCTACTCCGTCGATATCTTTTATTTCTGTTCTCAAAGTATAACAAAAGCTCGGCCACCGTAAGGGTAGCGATTAGAGATGTGTTGCGATTTCGCTATCAGCGATTTTGTCGCCGCTACTTTCCTGTCGCTGGAGCGAACCGCTTCGGTTCTTTCAAAATCACTGCGACTTTTTGGAGCTGGGTTTGATTTAGGCACGTTTTCATTCAGGCACTATTGCTAAAAATAAATGTCGCATCGCATATTTATCTGATGTGAACTGGAACTGCGATCGGAACGAAAACTATTATATTATATGCTACTAATCGCAGTCGCTGAAATTTGTATAAAACAAATAGGACATCTACAATAGGGCGACGCAAGAAAACGACTATTTTTTTTTAGTCTTGTGCGAAAATATGGTAAAAGATCCCCTCCAAAAGGCAGTTAAAAAAAGTTTTTATGGGTCGCTCGATTTTTAAAAATTTTAAAATTAGCCAAAATTGGATTGTTTTTTCAAATTTTTTTGCTCATGACGGTAGAATTTTGTGCCCTAAAAAGAAAAAATCTCAAATTTTTAGCTCAAAATATTAAACTGAAATTAATTCTTGATATTAAAATTTAAAGGTCGCTCAAAAACATCAGAAGCAATAATTTTGTATATAAAAAAAATCTTGAGCGACCTCTAAAAAATATTTTTTGAGCTGTTCTGTTTTTTGCGCCACCTTAATCTACAATCCTTAAAAATGTATCTTGGCGGCAATAAGTAATCGACTGTTTTTTAATCTTTTTTATAAATTTATTATTATTTTCTTAAAAAAATATTGCACAAAAGAGCATAGATTGCCAAAAAAATTACGGTCATTAAAACTGCTTCGAAGAAAATGCAACGATTTAAAAAAATAGCAGCTATTTCTTATGTGAGGACGTGACACAGGTCACAAGTCGCGATCTAGTTAACAGCTCCGAAAAGTCGCGGCGATTTGTCACTGCGACTTTTTCGGAGCAGTCGCTGTTTGTCGCAGCGACACGAAAATTTCGTCGCAACCCATCTCTAGTAGCGATATCTCTTTTTAATTATATTTGAAGAATATAAAGAAAAAGGAGTCACCGTAGCGGTAACGTGGATATTTGCGTTTTTTGTTAACTTGACTCGGTGAAGAAGAAAAAGCTAATAATCCCCCAGCCCACAAAAACCCTGGTATTTATACTTAAATTTCCCATATATGCAAATGTATCGAAAAGAGAACGACTGTGAATTCGGTGCATAAAGACTATAAAGCTCTGTATTAATTCCTGAATATAGCCCTAACGTTTTACATCTGTTTTGTTCTAGCGACCGTTACAGTCTACACGTCGACTCTTTTCCCAGAAGTAATTAAACGGCGCCTACGAGGCGGGATACACTGGGATGTTGTTTGAATTCGAAATAAAAATTTGAATATAATATGTAATATATAAGAATTATTTAAATTAATTATCAACTCCCGGTTGTTGGATTTCATTATTTGTTATAACTAAATCTATTAGTGTACCTTCACCACTTCTATTTGGTTGTGCATTATGTAACAATATTTTTTAATCCAGTATCAATCAAAATATCACGTAATTTCGCACTGTAAGTATTTTTAGTTAACAGGTCAATATTAAAATCTCCAGAAACAATAACTATTTGAGAATTATCACATACATTTTCTTCAGCCCAAGTGCTAAAACAATCTAAAAAAATTATATAGCTACTGCTAGGTGACCTATATAAAGATACAATTAAAAAAAATTTGTTTCCTAATATTACCATCACAGAAACAATCCAACAAATTTTTGGAATACAAAATTTAAAATGTTTTAAAACCTTCAGTTCACTTTGTACATAAATTAAAGTACCCCCTGTGTGTCTACTTTTACTGTTAACTCTATAATTTTTGTATCCGTCAATGTCTATTTCTGAATCATAAATATCCTCAGTCAAGCAAGTTTCAGAAACACATACTAAACTTGGTTTTTTTGACAACACATAATTAGAAATTTCATCAATGTGGGGCCACCACGCTCTCAGCATTTAAATATAATATATTTATTGTACTTTTTAATTTGGATCTTGAGTTTGAGACTTTGTGGGAAAATCTTTATTGACTGTAGGTTTGATAAATACGTTATCAAAAGGAGGAACAGTTAAATTATTTAAACATGTTACTATTATCACAAGGAAGAAGAGTTAAATTATTTAAATCTGTCAAATCTATAGAGCCCAAGTTACTATTATTAATAGGAAGAACAGTAAAATTATTTAAACCTGTCAAATCTATAGAGCCCAAGTTAGTAGACATGCTACAGTTTGTATTTTTAGATTTCACAGTGTTAATAAATTTTAAATTTTTACAGATATTTTTGCCATTACTTATTGCTACACTATTGAATGTTGAAACTTTTGAATCCAGAAGACGATCGTCTCATATATTTATTTAAGTTAATAGCAGCTTCGTCGCCTAATATTAATGTTTTTCGAAGAAGTACTTTGCACATTTTTTGAAAGGTTTTTTCCTGGCTCTAAGTCAAACACACTTGTGGTTATTTGGTTTTTTTCGATAACAAAGTGTCGATTTCAGATTTATCAACTCGTTTTCGTAGGTTTCTTTATCCTTTTCTAGGGTTTCAATTGAAATTAACAATCTCTTTTGGATGTCCGTTAGTTCCTCTTTAGTTTTCTCCATTACAAGCAAATGTTCCTGACTTAGTTCCAGTTCTGCTCTAATATCTATATTTTTTTCTGTTAAAATTTTTAATTTCATTCTTTAGATTAGTTATTAGCATCTGTTGCTCGGCCCTATCTGAAGCAATTTTTCTGTCAATTTTAAAAAAGTGAATCTTCAAATTTTCATAAGATTTTTTTAAGTTGCCTATTTCTATATCTTTATTTTCTAACATTTCTTTTAGCTCTTTCAATAACTTTTTAGGATAATTTTCAACTCCGGCACAGCTATCATCTTTTTCAGCACACTCGATAGAACAGATCCTATACCCCTTCAAAATTTAAACATATTTCATCCTCTCGAGACAACTCTGATGAAAAATATTTATACATCTGATACATATATAATTTCTAAATATTTTGTTCTGACAGCACCTACAAATATTTGCCATTTTCTATATTTATCTATCCTGCTGAGCAGTGGCGACTCGTAATAATTGAAAATGGGTGTTCACTTTTTCCAATACGCCGATCAGTACAAATAATACAATGAATCACATACCACAGGTGGTTATATAGAAATTGTTTTATCTTGGTAGTTTTTGTACTGATCAGTATGAGTAATGCATTATGTTATGTTATGTTGATAATGGGGTGTTAATACACTGCGACCTAAAAGATCTATTGTGCCCCCTTCTGTCGCCACTGCACTAAGGAAATGTCTCAATGCCTATAGCGACCCTTCCAATCCTATTTTCTCAAGGAAGTGTAGGATTTGAAGTGGCTTCAAGTTAGGTAAGTCTCCCTCTTCTATTTGATATCTTCCTAGATATAGTGCCCTTGGATTCTGGAGTGCTACACATTCAGTTAGGATGTAAATGGAGGTTTCGTCCTCCTCCTCACAGAATCTGCACTCACTATCCTCTACTACTCTCAGTTTACTTAGGTGTCCTTTTAGTCGGCAGTGCCCGGTAAGGATCCCTGTTACAATACGTAGCCTGTTCTTGCTCAGGCAGATGCAGGCTTCTGATCTTTTTTGGTTATATTCACCCAGAAGTATCTTGGCCTGTCTCAGCCCCAAGAGATTGTTCCAATTATCGGTTCTTCTACTACCCAATTCTTTTTTAATCTCTTCTAATATTATGTTACTGCTGATATCGCAGAACGGCTCAGGTCCTACAAAGGCTGTTTGAGCCCCTTTCCTTGCAAGACTATCTGCAATCTCGTTACCCTGTACCCCGTTATGTCCCGGGACCCAAGTGAGAGTAACTCTATTTTTCTCGCCTAGCTCATTCAATTGTTCTAGGCATCTCCATACCATTTTTGAGCTGATTACGTAAGAACTCAGCGCTTTGATGGCTGCTTGACTATCGGACATGATGATAATCTCTTGTCTATGATAGTTTCTCTCGATGTTAAACTGGATACACTTCTCGATGGCGTGAATTTCCGCCTGGAAGATGCTTGGGTATTTTCCCAAGCTTTCGGAGTACTTGGTTCTCGGCCCATACACTCCTATTCCAGTTCCTTCTATGGTTTTGGAACCGTCCGTGTACCACTGAATAGCACGTCTTTCGGTTGCAAGCGCGATGGATTCTTGGCTCCATTCTTTCTTGCAGCCCAGCTCTGTGGTTTTGAAGTTTTTCACAAAACAGTACTTCTTTTGCATTTCATCCTGGTGCATGTCCCAGGTATCTTTAGTCCTGAAGCAAGTAGACTTTCGTCTGATTACTCCGCTCCTGATCATTCTATATCGTGTCCTTTTTGCCACATTCTCCATCATCAAATGTAGAAGGGTGAGGTTTAAGATCACCTCCATTGCGGCCGTAGGACAGGTTCTCATTGCACCAGTAATGCAAACACAGGCTAGTCTTTGTACTTTTGAGATATTAGCTCTCGTAGTAACTAAACTAGTTCTGTTACTCCAGGCTATAGCCCCGTAAGTGATGATTGGTCTCACTATTGCAGTATACATCCATCGCAGTATGTTTGGGTTACATCCCCATCGTTTACCCGCCATGTTTCTGCATACCATTAGGGATTTTGTGGCCTTATTTACTACTTCCTTCTCATGTGTGTTCCAGAGAAGTTTGTTGTCCAGGGTTAGGCCTAGATATTTGACTTCATTTTTCCATTCTATATCTATCCCGTCTAATTTAACGGTTTTTGAGATTAAGATGAGTAATGCATACTACAGGGTGTAATAATCATTAGGGACAACAGCGAAGAATAATAAACACAAGAACTACTAAACGTATCAATTTCAACTTTTTTCCATTCTAGATCGCCTGTACAGTATTTTTTTTGCAGAAAATGCGGCAGAATCTTCTGCGCGGACTGCTCAGAGAACAGCACGCCCTTACCCTCGGAGCACCTCTACAACCCCGTTCGAGTGTGTACGAACTGTTATACGGAACTGCAAATGGATTGTTCAGAAATTCCGAATCAATGCAAGCATACTAACCCCCAACCTACAAATGCAAATACCCAAATTGCAGCTTCAAGTAACTAAAAACAAAAAAAAAACGTAATGTTTATTATTTATTAAATTTTATTATACCGTTGTTTGCGGCGATCTGAAAGGGAGAGTACAAAAAAATATGCAATTTCAAATGGATTTTTAATGGTATTTATTTTTTTACTAAACAAAAGTTTAATATTTGAGGTTTTCTATGAGCAAAAGTTGATGTGCTGTTGCGCCACCATGTCAAGAAAGTCACATGACATCTGTCATAAATGTCATATGTCTAAATTCTCAGTTGTCATTTGTCATAGGTAACTAGATTGAGACCTCGTTTACAGAGGACGTGTTACTTAAGGACTTTTAGAATTTTTAACTGTTGTAATCGATTTTATATAAAACTATGGTATGGACAGAATCTTTTTTTTTTTTTTCAATGCTATATTTTTAAATAATTTAAATCTTTTTACCACAAAAATCTATAATTTTTTTGATGGTAAAAATGCTTGCTAATGAGTATATCTTTAAGAAATTGCTTGCTGCTAGTTCTACCAAATTTTCTTCCTTAAAAAACCAGATAGTGACAGAATATCGTTGAACAAAGTCCTAACATATTTGCAAGTGTAAAAACTTCGCAAAGGTATTAAGACATTGTCAAAATAAAAAAAATGCAAGCAGATAAGTTAAAAAATTTAAAACTTCTTAGTGTAACACCTTGTATTTGTATTGCTACTTAATAATTACCATTTGTATTTTTTACATACACTGCCGATTAGAGCATACTATAAATAATTAAATTTCTATTTCTAAGGTATAAAACGATAAATTGACAATTGACACTGTTGGCATATGACAAATAACATTATTCACGTTTTTCTAATGTTTTAAACTGTCTACGATTTTACTAAAAAAAAATTAGAAACAAAAAAATTAACAAGGAAATTGCAAATACTTTTTTTTAAATAAATTATTCATGTTTTGTATTGTTTATTAATTTATGTATATATATTTTTTAAATTAGTGTTTTTTTAGCTGTCATTTTTTACTTGCGTTCAGAAATGTGCGTTCAATATTAATATATAACAACAAGTTTGTATTTTTTCTAAGTTATCGAAATGAAAACTTACAACCAAAGTTGAAATTGTCCATAATTTTTTTTGTATGGCATTTGTTGTCACATATAATTCCTTTGAGGTCATCGCACAGAGTTTTGTATAAAATTTCGATACATTGAGAGATTTGTAAAAAAAAGGGATTAAGAATAAGTGACTAGTGTTTTTTTAATTTGACACTACAAAATTGCTGTTACATTGTCCAAGAGTATATTATAAATTTGTCATTAGGTATATTAAAGATATTTAGTGAATAAAACTTATTTTAAATTTAAATATTTTTTTTATTCAACTTCAACATTACAAGTCGACAAAAAATCTTTCGAAAGGTAAGTTTTATCCAAAGATATATAAGTAATAATAATAATAATATTAATAATAATCGTCTTTATTATTTTCAAAATACAATCTATATTGTTTGTCCTGACTGACTGACTTATCTATCAGCGTACGGCCAAAACTACTGAGCCTAGAAAGCTGAAATTTGGAACATAGGTTTATTTTATAACGTAAGCATCCGCTAAGAAAGGATTTTTGGAAATTTTAACTTTAAAGGGGGGAAATGGGAGAAACTGGGGGAAGGGGGCTTTAAATGAAACTCTTTGTTCTTTAAAGTTAGAAACATGAAAATTTAAATTACAGCTACTGAGCATAAATAAATAATGACGTGTTTCAGGGTTTTTGGATTTTTAACATTTTAAGGGGGGAAAACGGGGGGTGAAAGTTTGTAAGGGACTAACGATTTTTTTGTTCTCTAAGAAGTTAGAAACATGAAAATTGGAATTCCAGCTACTGACTACAAATTATTAATGACATGTTTCAGGGTTTTTGGATTTTCACATTTTAAGGGAGGAAATGGGGGGTAAAAATGTATTTGGGAGTATCCATGTTTTTGGTTCTCTTTAAAGTTAAAAACATGAAAATTGGAATTGCAGCTACTGAGAACAAATTAATAATAATGTGTCTTAAGATTTTTATATTTTTACATCTTCAGGGGGGGAAACGGGGGTAAAAGTTTGGATGGGAGTATAACTTTTTTTGTTCTCTTTGAAGTTAGAAACATGAAAATTGGAATTGCAGCTAATGAGTACAAATTAATAATAACGTGTTTTAGGGTTTTTGGATTTTCACATTTTGGGGGTGAAAGTTTATTTGGAAATATTGATTTTTTAAAGGTAGGAACTTGAAAATTGGAATTGTAGGTTCTCATCATAAATAAATAATGAAGTGTTTCATGGCTTTAGGATTTTCACATTTTAAGGGGTGAAAATTAATAAAATATAATAAAAAATTATTAAAAATTAAGAAAAATTTATAAAAATTAATAAAAATAAATATTAATAAAAATAAATATTAATAAAAATAAATATTAAGAAAAATTATTAAAAATTATTAAAAATTAATAAAAATTAATAAAAATTAATAAAATTTAATAAAAATTAATAAAAATTGATAAAAATTAATAAAAATTATTAAAAATAAATAAAATTTAATAAAAATTATTAAAATATAATACGAATTATTATAAATTAATAAAAATTAATAAAATGAATAAAAATGAATAAAGATTAATAAAAATTAATAAAATTTTATAAAAATTAAGAAAAATTAATATAAATGATTAAAAATTAAAAAAAAAAATGAATAAATATAAAAAAATGAAAAAATGACTGAAAATCAATAAAACTAATAAAAATTAATAAAAAAGGAAGTCATGTATTTTTTTATATTAATAACACGACTATTTGCGAGCAAAGTCGCGGGCAATAGCTAGTATATTATAATAGTATATTATTAAACGAGCAATTTATGGTAGCCATTATTCACGCAGGGTGACGTTTGCGTCCCGAGCCGTAGGCGAGGGGCGCAAGTCACCCGAGTGAATAATGGCCATAAATTGCAAGTCTAATACTATACTTTGTCCACGACCATTATGGTTTCTTTATTAAATAAAAGTTAAGTGTAGAATGGAAAGTTTTTATTAAACATAACTGTTGTTTTTTCCACTTTTCATATTTTCGATTATTCGATTTTTGATTTTTCGACTTTTTGATTTTTCGATCTAGAAAATATCGTTATGAAAAGTATCGCCTATCTTTAGTTATCTACCGGAATTACAAAAGCGTGAATTATCATAATTCACTCCGTGATATATGGGTACTATATGTTCTTAGTTAGGAGGTAGAATATTGCTTTATTATTAAGTGGTCGTGGTCAAAATATATATTTACAATTATACTCGTGAAAATAAAGGGCGAAGTTCATTTTTTCTACTGAATAGCTGAGTAAGATAAAATGTTCTTCCACTTAACCCAACAAAAGTGTCTATATGTTTGATATTTATTACAGAAAACAAAATAAAACATGTATTAATAGTAAAAAATAAAATAGATTTTGTGAGGATTGTTTATAACAGAGATTAGATACATTGTTTATTAAATAAGAGGACTTTCAGCTTAGATTTAAATGCGAATATACAAAGATTTTTTAAATTTCCAGGAACAGAGTTACATAACTTAAATATTTTATATTTAAATGATCGTCTAAAAAATTCTGTTCGAAACGGTGGTGGCGTCAGTAAACCTTTAAATCTTAAATTTAGGTTATGTACATATGTTCTAAAAGTTATTTTATTATATAGATACATTGGAGTTTTATACATAATAAGTTTGTGATAGAGGGTAGAAGCATGGTGGATCCTTCTATATTCCATGTTCAACTACCCAACTTTCCACAGTTTATATGTTATTGTTTGACGCCTTTTTATGCCATAAATTAGCCTTAGACAACAGTTTTGAATTTTTTGAATTTTATTTTTATAAGTGGTAGTTAAACTTGGACCATAGACGGCGTCCGCAAAATTGAAATGCGATAGTACTAACGTTTCACAGAGGGTTGTTTTAAACATTTTGAGGCAGGAGATTACGGTTACCATATATTAATTTTATTGAGCTGTATGCACGCTGAATTAGCTTATTAACGTGTTTTTCGAATCTTAGATCCCAGTCAATAATGACTCCTAAATTTTTAGCTTCATTAACTAGAACTAATTCTTTATTATTAATTTAAATATTTAGGGGAGTTGTACTCGAGTACGACTTAAGTTAGTAGCAAATAGCATTAGGTTAGATTTTGTAGGATTGATCATTAAACAATGCTCAGATGCTGCCTCAATAAAAGCATCCAACTCTTGATTTATTAATGCACAAGCATTTTCTGATAAATGAGGAGGGAAACTGTAGTAGATCTGAGTGTCGTCAGCAAAAAGATGAATTTTACATTTGTCTAATGAACTTATTAATTTTGAAGTATATATAGCGAAAAGTAATGGCCCTAAAATGGAGCCTTGAGGCATTCCTGTCTTAAGAGTCAAATATTCGGACTGAATAGAATTAATTTGTTGTAAAAAACTGTGGATAAGCAAATTAGCATTATTGGAAAACCCTATATGATGCAAAATTTTAAGTAATAAATCATAGTTTATAGTATCAAATGCTCTGCTAAAATCTAACAATACCAAGAGTGTACATTCACCTTTGTCTATTGAGGTGATGATATCATCAACAATATGGAGTAATGCCGTAGTGCAACTGTATCCTTTACGAAACCAAGATTGAACTGATGGCAATAAAGAGAAATCTGTCAAGTGTTGCCTGATTTGTACCTCAATAGCTCGTTCCAACATTTTAGACAGCGTCGGTAAAATACTTATACCCCTCAGATCTTTAAACTCAGTAGGATTCTGTTTTTTCGGCAAAACTTTCACTATAGCTTTTTTCCAAACAGCAGGCAGATTCCCATTTACAATTCGATATCGAAATACTCGATTTCGTCAGTTTGGTGAATTCCGATTTGCGGGAAATCATATTCGCATCGACTAAAACGATTGCGAGTCACTCGCCAACTCTATGGTGCCGAATTGCTCGATTTCGGTAGATTATTGAGGTTATCGCATAGCACGTGGTTGTAGCCTTATAGCGGTTATAGAGAAAGAAACAGGTAAATCGAAGTTTGGCTTAAACTTATGTTGTACGAAAGTTCAATATCTCGTTGGTATGACCCAGTTGCATAAAAACGTAATTCAGCAAAAATCTTTATGAAATTTGGCAGAGAATTGTTGTAGACTCTTTCAACAAGGTGGGGCTGTATAGTATCAAATATATACCTAGCGGCTTTTCTGTTAAATCTGTAAAATTCAATAAAGCGCTCTTCCGGAAGCTCAAATGAAATGCTGTGGTTCTTGAGTAGACGCCTTTGTAAAACGAGGGCTCTGTTTTACCCCCTGTGTCTAATTCGTTGTATTCGGTTATTAAAAATTGGTAGCATACTTGCGTGGCTATTTATTATAATTCACTTTCAAACAAGAACACCAATAAAAATAAATACCAAATACCGTTGATTTGTTTACATGGGTAATTCTCAAAAAAAAAAAAAATACATTTTGCAGTTACAAGTGGATAACTTAATTATTTCACAAAATTATGTTATTTTTTATAGTAGAATATAATATTTCAAATGATGTTTTAACAAATAAATAGATCGATTCTCATTTTTTTTAAGTATCTTAGCTTGTAATTTATACTTAAAGGCAAAATGTCATCTCCGTGAGCTGTAACATCATTGAATTATCTATCATCAGCATAAGGTTTTAGTTTTTTTACATGAATTTTAAAACTAACTTTATATGCATTTTGCTAAAATAAAGTCTAAGTAAGCTATTTACGAAATATTATTTTTTAATTACTTTATAAATATGGCAAATACCCTTTAATTATCCTTGTAACGTATGTCGCCGTCACCTCCGTGCAGAAATCAAAGTGTTAAAAATGTCCTTTAGATGTCACTACCTAATTAACGCACAATTCCTAAAGTAAACCGAGTTGCACCGCCAGTTTGATTTATGTCCTTCGAGAGGTCTGTTGGTGAGTCAAAATCGGCAAATATTTAAAACTAAAAAAGTGCTGTGCATGTTTTGTCCCCTCCGTACAACATATTTAAAGGTATGTATATTTAGTAAAAATTATAATTTATAAACAAATACTATTCTTATTATTCGCCAATTCATTATTCTGATTTTAATATATTACCTTAATTATCAAGAAAAAAGTCACCTCCGTTTAATTAAATACGAACGGAGGTGACGGTTAGCGAATGGAGGTGACTTTAATGAATGGAAATAATAAATACGGTTAATTTATATTGACTTTTGTAGTGTTTAGATACGAAGATGGCAAAATCCAAACAAACCAAAACAGATGAAGAAAAAAGAAGAGAA